TAGAAATTAAATAATGTCATGTAGATATGAGAAAGTAACCAGTTTAAAATTTTTGAAATGATAAACAGTCTTTGAAATATAATTATATACTATAGCCATTGAAATTCCTTTTAAGTCAATACCTTAGATAAATTCTAGAACAAATTATAAATTGGAAGAATCAAACACAAATCAACTCAAATGGAGAGATAATGGCTTGAGAGGCTCTAACATATCAGATAGGAGTCCTAGGGAATAAAAAAGATTGAAGAATGGCAGAGAGACAATAAATGAATAGATAATAGGTGATAATTTTCCTGAACTAGATTCTAATTAGAGACCTAATTGTTGAGGTAGGTTGTACGTTTGAAATATACCAGATAAATAAAAGTAAATGCATTATTTTGGTTAAACATGGTAGATTGAAAGTACATATTTACTTCCCACTTTCTCCCTTTATAATTCATTCAAATGTCAGTAAAGGAGTTTTGTTTTTAAGATATAACACACAGGTTTCTTTAAAAACAGACCAAGACTACTTGCAAGCAGTTATAATCAGTAGAACTTTGGAAACTAGACAGCAGATGCACAAGTACTGATTTAAGAGACCTGAAAGAACAAAAGCTTGGTTTTTTTAGTTGTTTGTTTTTGTCTGAGGTTGGGAGGAAAGATAGCTAAGAAATAAGGAGTACCCTTATCGTGATGAGTACTGAGTAAGGGATAGATTTGTTGAATCACTATATCGGACACTTGAAACTAATATAACACAGTATGTTAATTATACTAGAATTTATTTTTACAAATAAGGAAGAGAAACATTTACAGTAATGTGCTGTATTTATTTTTAAAAATCCAGATAGAAGCCGACCTGCACACTTCAAACCTGTGTTGTGTAATTAAATATCTTCAGAGAGATAAGATACTGTATCCATGAAACAATAGGATGCCTTTTTTAAACTTAAAGCTACAGTAGTAAAAATGGAAATTTCAGTATATAACTTAGAAAATGAAGGAAATCCCTTAGAATATAGACAAAGGAATGGAAGACAGATAAAGGAATGGAAAATAGTGAAAACATAAAAAAGATGATTAATCTAGAAGGTCCAAATTTCTAGAGAAATAGGATTTCCAGTAAGCGAGAACAAGGGACAAATAATTGATAAGAAAGCAGAAAATTAGTAGCAATATAGATTTGAATAACATTATCAGTCATTTATAGAACACCAAAAGCTGCAGAGTATACATTTTAAAATATTCTTTTCAGGTGCCCATGGAATGTTCTTCAAGATAGATATTTCAGACTATAAATTAATTCTCAATAAATTTGGAAGGATTGAAATCGTAGAGTATGTTCTCTGCCACAAATTATATTAGAAATAAATAACAAAAAGATATCTGAAAAATCCCAGATAGTTGAAACTTTGACAACACTTTTCTAAATAACCCAGGATCAAAAAAGAAATTACTAGGGGCGCCTGGGTGGCTCAATTGGTTAAGTGTCCAACTTCAGCTCAGGTCATGATCTCTCAGTTCGTGAGTTCAAGCCCCACAGCAGACTCTCTGCTGTCAGCATGGAGTCCGCTTAGGATCCTCTGTCCCCCTCTCTCTCTGCCCCTCCCTTACTTGCGCACACACTTTCTCTTTCTCAAGAAATAAATAAAAAACATTTTAATAAAAAAAAAATAGAAATCACCAGGGAGACTAGAAACTGTTTTGACTTGAATGACTCCAATGGGTTGGCAAACTCATTCCATAAAAGGCCAGGTAGTAAATATTTTGGGCTTTGCAGACTGTACAGCCTCTCTGTTGCATACTCAATCTTGCCTTGTAGTGTGAAATCAGGCATAAATAGTAACTGTGGCTATGTTCCAATAAAACTTTATTCATGGGTAATGATATTTGAATTTCATATGATATCACATAACATAAAATAATAGTATCCTTTTCATTTTTTCTATTACTAAAAATGTAAAAACCAGGCACCTGGGTGGCTCAGTCGGTAAGCATCCAACTTCTGCTCAGGTCATGATCTTGCAGTCCGTGGGTTCAAGTCCTGAATTGGGCTCTGTGCTGTCATGACAGCTCAGAGCCTGGAGCCTGCTTCAGATTCTGTGTCTCCTCCTCTCTCTGCCCTTTCCCTGCTCTCACTCTCTCGCTCTCTCAAATAAAAACATTAAAAAAATTTTTTGAGGGGCGCCTGGGTGGCTCAGTCGTTAAGCATCTGACCCTTGATTTCGGCTCAGGTCCTGATCTTAAGGTTTGTGAGTTCAAGCCCCTCATCATGCTCCATCTGACAGTGTGGAGCCTGCTTGGAATACTCTCTCTCTGTCCCTTCCCCACGTACTGGCCATCTCCCTCTCTCTAAATAAACTTTTAAAAATAAATTAAGAATACAAAAAAGTTAAGTTGTATACGAAGTTGAATTCCAGATGGATTAAAGATTTAAATCAAAGGGTGCCTGGGTGGCTCAGTCACTTGAGCATCTGACTTCAGCTCAGGTGATGATCTCACAGTTCATGAGTTCCACCCGTGTGTTGGGCTCTCTGCTGTCAGCACAGAGCCTGCTTCAGATCCTTTGTCCCCCTCTCCCTCTGCACCTCACCTGCATGCATGCTCGCTCGCGCTCTCTCTCAAAAATAAATATTTTTTTAAAGATGTAAATATAAAAAATCAAACTATATGGGGCTCCTGGGTGGCTCAGTTGGTTAAGCGACCGACTTTGACTCAGGTCATGATATCACAGTTTGTGGGTTCGACCACTGCATCAGGCTCTGTGCTGACAGCTCAGAGCCTGGAGCCTGTTTCAGATTCTGTGTCTCCCTCTCTCTCTGCCCCTCCCCCTCTCATGCTGTGTTTCTCTCCGTCTCTCAAAAATAAATAAATGTTAAAAAAATAAAAATTATAAAAGTACTAAAAGAAATCATAAGAAAAACTTAATGAAGTGATGAAATGAGGAAAGCCTTTTTTGTTTTGTTTTGTTATAACGTTTATTTATTTTTGAGACAGAGAGAGACAGAGCATGAACGGGGGAGGGGCAGAGAGAGAGGGAGACACAGAATTGGAAGCAGGCTCCAGGCTCTGAACCATCAGCCCAGAGCCCGACGTGGGGCTCGAACTCACGGACCGTGAGATCGTGACCTGAGCCGAAGTCGGATGCTCAACCGACTGAGCCACCCAGGCGCCCCGAGGAAAGCCTTTTGAAATATGACAAGAAAACTCTGAAGCCATAAAAGATTGATAAATGTAAAAACAAAAGTAAATCATTTCAAGGCATCTGACTGGCTCAGTTGGAAGACCATGTGACTCTTGATCTCAGGGTCATGAGTTTGAGCCCCACATTGGCTATAGAGATTACTTTAAAAAAAGGTAAATAATTTCTGCATAGCCTTAACCACCATTAGCAAATGACAAACCAGGGGGGAATACTTGATTTGTACAACAGACAAAAGGCTCACTCTGGTGTATTACGAGTTACAAATAAGAAAAAGACTATATAATTCAGTAGAAAAATGAGGAAAGCTTTATATAAAGAGACAATTCACTAGAAAGGAAATACATTTCATAATGATGTCTTAAAATGAAATGATACACAGACTCATCATAGGAAACATTTCATTAAAACTACATAAAACACTGTTTTTCTCCTGTCAGGTTGGCAAAGATCAACAAGTTTGAGAACACTGTGTTGCCAAAGGAAAAAGACAGCTGGTGTTACCGTGCACTGCTGATGAGTGTATAAATAGGTGAATCTTCTTTGCAATTTGGCAGTGTTTATCAAAAATCCAAATACAGGGGCACCTGGGTGTCTCAGTTGAGTGTCCAACTCTTGATTTCGGCTCAGGTCATGATCCCACAGTTTGATCAGTTCAAGCCCCACGTCGGGCCCTGTGCTGACAGGGAGCCTGCTTGGGAGTCTCTGCCCCTCCCCTGCTCACACTCTGTCTCTCTCAAAATAAATATATTTGGATTTTTAAAAATTTATTTAAGTGCTCCATGATTAATTTTACTTACAGGAATTACATCTTAGAGACATACTCGTGTAAGTAAGGTAAAGCATTTGTACAGGGTTATTTTTGCATTATTTATAATAACAAAATAGTGAAACAGCCTAAATGTCTGTCAACAGGGGACTGATTAAATAAACTGTGGCATGATTTGCAATCATTCAAATGCAGCCATTGAAAAGAGTGAAGTAGTTCTATGTGTACTGATAGAGAATGATTCAAAAAGTATTTAGATTTCATATATATGAAAAAAGTGTACAGAACATTGTATATTGCTACCATTTGAGGAAGAACATGTAAGCATATTTGCTTATAAATGTATAAAATATCTCTGGAGGAACACATGGATATCCATGGATATTTCTGAATGGAGGCACCAGAAGGCTACAAAACAGGGATAGGAGGAAATACTTCATTTATATTGGGGTTTGTCTGCTACTGTTTGAATTTTGGAATATAACTATATTATCCACCCAAAAGCATTTTTTAATAATATGAACATGACAGGAGTGTTCATTGTGAAATCATTCCCGAGTGAAATGCTCAAAATACCCTAAATACCCATCGGTAGGAGAATGTGTAAATTATGGTCAAATCATACAGTGTCCTTCATGAGCACAGTTAAAATAAGTTAATTAAGCTTTTCATGTCAACATAGATAAATCTCAAGTTTGTAATGTTATGTGAGAAACTTAAGTTAACTTAAGTAACTTAAGTTACACCCCAGCATGATCCCATCAATATGCAAAGTTTGAAAATACATAAAGGGTGCTTTTTGTAACCATGATACTTTAAAAGAGAAATCTGATGTAAGTATGGCACTAAATCTTATAAATCCATTGAGCTAAGTAGGCAGTTTCCATAATGGTATTTTGGCCCAGTCCTGCTTGTCTCATGGGGACCCAGGGCAACCCTAAATCCTCCTCCAGGAACCAGGATGCTCCTCAAATGAAAAGTATTCCTCTCAGTGGCCAGCAGGGTTTCCCTTGTCTGTATCTGAATCTTCTTGTCTTCCAGGGATGTTGGTGGTAAATGTAACATGGAGGAACAAGACCTATGTAGGCACACTTCTTGACTGCACGCGGCATGATTGGGCACCCCCCAGGTAAGCACTTTACAGCTTTTTGGTGAATATTAGTCTGAACCAGTCTAATCGGTGATCCCTTCTTATCCCTTCTTCCTGTTAGAGTTGGATACCTTTTAAGACACCTAGCTTTTCAAGACTATGATGGTGTAGAGATGAGGAAGGCACTGCATTCAAGAATAAATCAATTAGGTGTTGGTGGGTTGGGTAGGAATGGGGAGGAGATCCTGTTTAAGCCTTTGGGTGAAATTATTGAATTCTGGCTTCTACCAGTAGTCACCTTGAGACTAAGGCCATCGAGTCCGCCTACGGGTGAACAAACATTTATTGATGATGCTTTTTGATAGTAGCTTTTTCTCAGGAGTTTAACCTCAAGAACATTTGCAGTTTTAAGAACACTGGACTATGTGGGTTTCACAAGGACCTTTCAGGTTGACATCGCAGTGAATGGCACTTTACAGCTTGTTCCCAGTTTGCCAGGGTTTGGGGAACTCAAATGTTGGGGAATGATGTACAGCTAACATGCAGATGGCACCCTAGGAGCTCACCACTTAACGCAGTTCCCATGGTTTCAAAAGTTCCTTTAACAAGTCATATTCATTGAAAATGATAGTTACCATCCGGACAGTTCTGGAGGCACCTAAACTGGTTTGAAGGTGTTTTCTCTTCTTAACAATATCTTGTTGTGTTTGCCCTTTGCCAAGGTTCTGTGACTCCCCCACCAGTGACTTGGAAATGCGCAACGGCCGGGGTAGAGGCAAACGCATGCGTCCCAACAGTAACACACCTGTCAATGAGACGGCCACTGCCTCTGACAGCAAAGGGACCAGCAGCAGCAGCAAAACCCGAGCAGGAGCCAATAGCAAAGGCCGTCGGGGCAGCCAAAATTCTTCAGAGCATCGCCCACCTGCCAGTAGCACCTCTGAGGATGTCAAGGCCAGCCCTTCCTCAGCTAATAAGCGGAAAAACAAACCGCTTTCAGACATGGAGCTGAATTCCAGCTCAGAGGACTCCAAAGGGAGCAAGCGTGTCCGTACGAATTCCATGGGCTCAGCCACTGGTCCCCTCCCTGGGACCAAGGTTGAACCCACTGTTCTAGACAGAAATTGTCCCTCCCCAGTCCTGATTGACTGTCCCCACCCAAACTGCAACAAAAAGTATAAGCACATCAATGGACTTAAGTACCACCAAGCTCATGCCCACACAGACGATGACAGCAAGCCAGAAGCAGATGGAGACAGTGAATATGGAGAGGAGCCCACCCTCCATGCAGACCTTGGGAGCTGCAATGGTGCATCCGTCTCACAAAAAGGTTCCTTGTCCCCTGCCCGTTCAGCTACCCCCAAAGTTCGGCTCGTAGAGCCCCACAGCCCTTCTCCTTCAAGCAAATTCAGCACAAAAGGCGTCTGTAAGAAAAAGCTTAGTGGGGAAGGGGACACAGACCTTGGGGCCTTATCTAATGATGGCTCTGATGATGGACCCTCAGTAATGGATGAAACAAGCAATGATGCCTTTGATTCTTTAGAAAGGAAGTGTATGGAAAAAGAAAAATGTAAAAAACCCTCTAGTTTGAAGCCTGAAAAGATTCCTTCCAAAAGCTTAAAGTCAGCGCGGCCTATTGCCCCTGCCATCCCTCCACAGCAAATCTACACCTTCCAGACAGCCACCTTCACAGCAGCAAGCCCAGGCTCCTCCTCAGGCTTGACCACCACAGTGGTCCAAGCCATGCCCAACAGCCCCCAACTCAAGCCTATTCAGCCCAAGCCCACTGTGATGGGAGAACCTTTCACAGTCAACCCTGCCTTGACCCCAGCCAAGGACAAGAAAAAGAAAGACAAAAAAAAGAAGGAGTCCTCAAAGGAACTCGAAAGTCCTCTGACCCCTGGGAAGGTGTGTCGAGCAGAAGAAGGCAAAAGCCCGTTCAGGGACTCCTCGGGAGATGGGATGAAAATGGAGGGGCTCCTGAATGGCTCATCAGACCCCCACCAGAGCCGACTGGCTAGCATCAAGGCAGAAGCTGACAAGATCTACAGCTTCACGGACAATGCCCCCAGCCCTTCAATTGGAGGCAGTAGCCGCATAGACAGCACTACTCCTACCCAGCCCCTGACTCCCTTACATGTAGTGACCCAGAACGGAGCCGAAGCCAACTCGGTCAAAACCAATAGCCCTGCATACTCCGACATATCTGATGCTGGGGAGGATGGGGAGGGCAAAGTGGACAGCGTCAAATCAAAGGACCCTGAACAGTTGGTTAAGGAAGGGGCTAAGAAAACTCTTTTTCCCCCTCAACCACAGAGCAAAGACTCGCCATATTATCAAGGCTTTGAGAGTTACTACTCTCCGAGTTATGCACAGTCTAGCCCAGGGGCTCTGAACCCCAGCAGCCAGGCAGGAGTGGAGAGCCAAGCTCTGAAGACAAAAAAGGATGAGGAGCCTGAGAGCATAGAGGGGAAAGTGAAGAACGATGTCTGTGACGAGAAGAAACCAGAGCTGAGCAGTTCCAGTCAGCAGCCTTCCGTCATCCAGCAGCGTCCCAACATGTACATGCAGTCTCTGTACTACAACCAGTATGCCTACGTGCCCCCGTATGGCTACAGCGACCAGAGTTACCACACCCACCTCCTGAGCACTAACACAGCCTACCGGCAGCAATATGAGGAACAGCAGAAACGGCAGAGCTTGGAGCAGCAGCAGCGGGGACTGGACAAGAAGGTGGAGTTGGGCCTAAAGGAGCGGGAGGCGGCACTCAAGGAAGAATGGAAGCAAAAGCCGTCGATTCCCCCAACTCTCACCAAGGCCCCCAGCCTGACAGACCTGGTCAAGTCAGGACCCGGGAAGGCCAAGGAGCCAGGGGCTGACCCTGCCAAATCAGTCATTATTCCCAAGTTAGACGACTCCTCCAAACTGCCCAACCAGGCCCCGGAAGGACTTAAAGTGAAGCTGAGTGAGGCCAGCCACCTAGGCAAGGAGGCCTCTGAGGCTAAGACAGGCGCTGAGTGTGGCCGACAGGCAGAGGTGGATCCAATACTCTGGTACCGACAGGTAACTATTCTGGGAGGAAACCCAAACACTGATAGTCTTTGTCTCTTTCTCACAAGTCCGGGCTCTCCTTATGTAGGGTGTCAGCAGAATACAGATTGGCGGGAGAAATCTATAATTTTAAAGATTCTTTACCTTTGTAAATCATTTTCATGTTTTTAAAAAGCAAGGTTACGTCAGTAAAAGGTGTTTTTCCCATCTGACAAGAGAGACCGAGGTAAGTTAGCTTGATTTGTGTAGGGTAACTTGTGACTTCACTAGCAGAGCCGCGATTAGAACCCAGGTATCTCAGTTCCTAGTTGGTGTTTCTTCCAGTATTTGGTTGTGTGGAATGGTGATCTCTCCATTTTCTAGAGTAAGTTACTACTCAGACTGAGTTACTTTCAAAAAGGTCTTATAGAGGGGTACCTGGCTGGCTCGGTCGGTGGAGCATGCGACTCTTGATTTCAGGGCTGCAAGTTCAAGCCACATTGAGTGTAGAGATTACTTAAATAAATAAAATTTAAAAAGAAAAAAAAAGATTTTATAGGTAAACTTAGAACTGAGAACTTGGTCTCACATCATGCTCTGCTCATGAGATTTAGAAAGTCTTCCCTTTCTTAGTGCCACAGTTAGACCTCCCTCCTCTGAGCTGGGCAACACTCACACCTCTCTGCTCCGGAGCTTCCTCTAAAGAAGTGAAACAACCTGAAATTCCTTGGAAAAGGAACAACTTCTTCTATTCAAGGACTCCTTTCCCCAGAATGCATATTCTCTCCTAGAGAAGACCCACTGATGGATTTTCCTTTTCCTTCTCCACATCTTGTTTCCTTTTGGGCAAGGAGGGGGGCAGGCTATTTTAAAAAAGCAGGAGGGACCAGAGTTAATTGTAAATATTCTGCCCCGGTGTCTAGTATTAGCTGCTCCAGTGTTTCTGCTGCGACCTCGAGCTTGAAGTCTCTCTCTTACCTATACAACACTCAGTGCTCATTCTGTGACTGTTGTAGGAAGCAGAGCCCCGGATGTGGACGTATGTCTATCCTGCCAAGTACTCGGACATCAAGTCAGAGGATGAGCGGTGGAAAGAGGAGCGGGACCGCAAATTGAAGGAAGAAAGGAATCGGAGTAAGGACTCTGCCCCCAAGGAGGATGGGAAGGAAAGCACAAGTAGTGACTGCAAGCTGCCCACGTCTGAGGAATCCCGCCTCGGGAGCAAGGAGCCCCGGCCAAGTGTCCATGTGCCTGTGTCCTCCCCCCTCACCCAGCACCAGTCCTACATCCCTTACATGCACGGCTACTCCTATAGCCAGTCCTATGACCCCAACCACCCCAGCTACAGGGGCATGCCTGCTGTGATGATGCAGAACTACCCAGGTACAGCACCCTTCTTCCCACTTGTGCTCTATTAACGGGGAGGGGAAATGAAGCACAGATTTCAGATCCAGAGTTTTCTTGCATGGCTCTAAGGCTTTTTTTTTTTTTTTAATGTTCATTTACTTTTGAGAGAGTGAGTGAGAATGCCAGAGGGACAGAAAGAGAGAAGAGGACAGAGGATGTGAAGTGGGCTTTGCACTGACAGCAGAAAACCTGACATGGGGGTCGAACTCACGAACTGTGAGATCATGGCTTGAACCGAAGTTGGATGCTTAACCAACTCAGCCACCCAGGCACCCCAGGCCCTAACGCTTATTGAAACTCAGATAGATGACTGTCCTGTTTTGAATGTAACATTCTGTGAGTGGTCAGTCTAGCCCCAAGCTCCTTGAATGACCCAAACTACAATCTGTGAGACCGCCTCTCCCTCCCTTGCTCCAGCTAGAGTCTTGCCTCTGTAGTCCATTTTCCTGGATAACTGAAGGCAAAACTCCCACTAAACCACTGCCATCTTCTCTCAGCTGGAACTGTTTTAAACACATACTCTACATTTTGCAATGTAGAAATACAAAAGAAACAGGGCTAGTTCTTCTTAAGGAGCTTCAACTTAATCGTAGCAGGAGAGACACATGGAACAAATAAAATTCAAACCAGGGCAATGCATGTATTCATTTATAAGACAGGTTCAGCTGCAAGGTTTGGAAGGCAGTGGGAGAGAGGAAGAGCTGTTTGAAATCAGAATGGAGGGGAAGTCCAATAGAAAACATTCAGCTTGGGAAAAATAAGCTCTTTATACTGCTGCCCATGACTTCTTGGGGAAGGGCACATTGTAGGGGTGTACATATTTAACTTGTTGGAAGAAAATGGTCCTCAACTCCACTCACTGGTTTCTGTTGCCCGAAGAGCCATGTGGGATGCTTCTGGGGTGAGAGAGCACTTCTTTCACTCCTCAGAGCTCCCACCTCCCTATTGGAGAGCAGCCTAAACAGTCTTGATACCCTGGCAGAACGTTATAAGGCACCAGTAAGCTTTTCAAACAGAGCTAGGAAATTGTGTCACCTGTGGTGTTCCTGTCTCCCTATTACCCCATCTGTCCATATAAAAATAATATTTACACTTGCTGAGCGCCTGCTCTGGGCCAGACACTGTGCTAGGTGGTTTATGTGCATTATCTTATTTCATCTTCCCTATGGAATAAGTATTGGTGTCTTCATTTTGATGGGAAGGAAACTGAAGCTCAGAAGGGTTGTTAATTTGCTTAAGGCTACCCAGCTGGTAAGTCTCAAGAGAGGTGCATTCAAAACCAAGGTTGTCTGACTCCAAATCCTATGATCTTTCCACTTCACCGTAATGCCCGTCCAAGATGAATCACGAGGGCTCTAGCGAAGCTGACTCCCCAAAAGTTGAGGACCCTGTTCCTAATATCCCGTAGCTAGTTTTGCCTCTAGAGCTCAGTAAAGAAAGGACAAACTAAAAGTTTCAGCCTGAAGACACTGTAGGGGGAAATATCTCAGCCTCTGCCTAGGAAAGCTGATGCCTGCCCTAACCGGGCTCACCAAAGCAGAGCTTCTTTCTTTTACTTCTCTCATTGACTGCTTTATTTCTCCTTCCCCAGGTTCCTACCTACCTTCCAGCTACTCTTTCTCCCCATATGGCAGCAAAGTCTCAGGGGGTGAAGATGCTGACAAGGCACGAGCCAGCCCCAGTGTCAGTTGTAAATCCAGCTCAGAGTCCAAAGCCCTGGACATCTTGCAGCAGCACGCCAGTCACTACAAGAGCAAGTCTCCCACGGTAAGTGGCACTGGCTGCTCCCAGAACCCAGGAAGGCCAGATCCAGGCTCTGGAGAAGGTGGGCAAGCGCAGGTCTTAACTACAGTGCAGCCTGGCTGACTTTGACTCTGGCGTCACCAGGCAACTCCATGATTCTTAGGTGTCCTGCGTTTGTAAGGAATCATAGCGTGGGCTCAGAGCATCTTGCTGTCGTGTGTGTGTCTCACAACAGTGCTTTGTGTCTGCTTTTTTTTTTTTTCCAGATAAGTGATAAAACGTCTCAGGAGAGAGATCGGGGAGGCTGTGGGGTGGTTGGGGGTGGTGGCAGCTGTAGCAGCGTCGGGGGAGCAGGCGGGGGTGAAAGAAGTGTAGACCGGCCCCGCACCTCCCCTTCTCAGCGCCTGATGTCCACACATCACCACCACCACCATTTGGGGTACTCGTTGCTCCCAGCGCAGTACAACTTACCCTACGCAGCAGGTAAGCCTCCTTCCCCTACTTTTCTTTTTCTTTTTTTCTTTTTTTTTTTTTTTTTAAGATTTTAAGTAGTCGCTACACCCAACATGGGACTTGAACTCACAACCTGAAGATCAGGAGTCTCATGCTCTACTGACTAAGCCAGCCAGGTGCCACCCCACCACCACCTATCTTTTTGACTCCATCCCAGTAGCATAGTAGCATTGCCCACAGCACAGGACCCCCAGCAAGAATCCTTTTTTTTTTTTGTCTCTTGTTGAGCTTCTAATCTGCCCAGGATCTTAGCCTTCTTCAGACAGTCATTGAAGCATATGACATTTATTTCTTCCCTTGGAGCTTAGGGACTCTCAAACTACTCTAGAAAATTGGCTTTGATATTCAGAAGAATAAGGACCAGGTGTTCCCACAGCCAGAGAGAAACAAGCAGCTGAAAAATAGAGCTTTACTACACTATCCGCAGCCACTCTCTCTGGCCAAGTATCAGATTTTATTCTGTCAGCACCCCAAAACTCAGTGGAGCCAGGAATTTAAGGAGAAACTCCTCCCAATACCCTCCCATCTAATAATGAGAAAGTGTTTAATCAGAGAGTTCTGGGAGAGTTACACTAAACATGCCGTCCTCTCTCACTCAGGGCTTTCTTCTACAGCCATTGTTGCCAGCCAGCAAGGCTCCACTCCCTCACTCTACCCACCCCCGCGGAGGTGAGAATGGTAAGTCACTTTTTAATTGGGGACAACACCTAGAACAGGGATAGTTGATAGGTATCACAGAATCCCTGTGGAGCCTAAGTGAGGGAAAGCCATGTGGGGTCAGTGGTCTGGAAATGGTGGACCGCCGGCCAGGCCTCTTGTACAAGCCTCCCATTGAGCCATGTGCGTCTGAGGAGAGCTGTGGAACACAGGTATCCCCTTGGGGCCAGGAGTGGCCTCCCTGCAGTTCGTTTTCTCGGAGCGCCACCTTGTGGTTGTTACACCAAAAGGCTGAGTGCCTGGTTATCTGTCCATGTTTCCCTTGCAGAACACCAAGTGCCCGGATAAAGTCAGCTTCACGGGCCCGGACTGGCTCGCCCAAGGAGGTGCTGGAGGTGCCATTTAGACATCAGTTAAATGGTGTTGATCATCCTGTTTGCCGTTCCCACCATGACCGAAGGCAGACCCTTGGCTATCTCACCTCCACCAGATCCCTGGACTCCCCAACCCTCCCTCTTCCTCAGGAGCTGGAGAGCTGGTACTTAGCAAAAATATTTATTCTCTCGGCCACAGTTGAGACTGTTGTGGCCTCTGTGGAGATGAAGGCACGGGGAGCAACCAGGGGAACATGGCCTCAGCCCAGAGAAGTAACTGCTCCGTTCCCCAAGCCCCTGGTCAGCTGCCAGAGCAGTGCCAACCCCCACCCCCAGGGAGGGACTCACAAGTACTGGGTAAGGTCTGAAGACAGCACAGCAGCCATACCCCTGTCATTACCACAATCACCAGATCCTGCATCTCCCCAGCAGTTTGGGCCCTGGGAACTGGCAGCATGTGGAGGAATTAGAATCTCAGGAAAGAAATTGGGGGCTGTTTTCTCTGTACTTGTGAAAACAAAGTCTTCACCCATGAAGACCTCTCCCCTCTCATGTGAGCACATATAAATGCTCAGAGCCTAGCCTGGAAAGGAAGACCAAGGCATTTGCCTCACCATGGCCCTGGGATACCTGTCAGGCAGAGGGCTGAGGTCCCAACACCAGCACAGGGCTCCCCGGGGATACTTGGGAGTGAGCTGGAGCATGAATGGAGTCTGTGAAAAAGAACCTGCATCCCCACTAAGTCCTGCTGCTTCTAAGCCCCCAACTCCTTGCCCTTTTCTCTCTCTCCTCCTTACCCCTTGGTGCCTTTCCCAGGGGGATCCCCATGCTGATCTCTCCTTCTCTTTTCCACTGCTTGGCTCTTAAGACTCAGGCAGGTAAAACAGTATTCCCCCCAGCATGGGGAGCTTTGGAGTCTGCCAGGTCACCTTCGGGCAAGGCCCAGGAGGGAGGCCCTGGGAGCACCCAGCAGTTCTTAGAGGTGTCTTGTCCATTCAGCCATCTGAGTATCCTCCTCATTTAGGGCCACAAATATATACAGCCCAGTTCCTCTGTATACAAGTACATGATTTTATATAGCTCAATCTATAACCCCATGTGTGCCAATATCAGCTGTGTTTCTTTGTTAACACACGTTTTTGTTTTAGGGGCCACTGGCCATGGAAAGTTACGGGTTCCTTAGACCCTGGGATAACACATCCAAGCCATTACTCCTCAGAGCCAGAGTGTACTCAGTGGAGCTGTGCTATGAGGCAGCAGACATTTCTCTGCTCTCCTTAGAAATGCAGTCTACCAGCCCAGCTTTATGCTCTTTGCCCTGGGAAAGTGACCATGATTTGGTAGCTTTATTGGAGTCACTTCTTCCCCAAGGTATGAGGAGCTTTAGCTCTTATTGTGCTTTTGGGGTATCATCCCTTTGTTCTCCTTGGCTATCTTTCCTTGACCTTCTGGATTGAGAAAGACTGACATACACCAGCCTAAGGCTAGAGAAGGGTATTTGTGACCAGAGTGCCAAAGTGACCATTTAAGAGCAAGGACTTGGCTCGGACTCCATTTGGGGCATGGGGGTGGAAGACAATAAGCACAATGCCCAGCAGAGGCTGCTTTCCAAGAGCCCTGGCTTAAGGTCGTTTGCCAAGAGGAGCCCCTTTCACCTATAGACCTCTCCTCTAGGCTTTCATGTCAGTTGTTTTTGTTCAAGTTGGGTTGAATCCTTCCCAAAACCCACTGTTTTAGACCACTTTGCAGGCCCCCAAGCAGCCTCCCTTTTCCCCATCATTCCCTCTACCTCCTGCTAAACCCAGAGGGCAGGGCTCTGGGCAGTGACTTCCCTTTCTTCCTTGGAAGTAGTTGGTTTGGACACCTTCACCCCACCTAACCTGAGTCACCCCCACCAAGAGGATGACTCTGAATTTCAGCCTGATTGTACCCTCCCAGACTCCTGTGGGGTGGAGCCAAGGGCCCATCTCTGTTCCTGTTTGTTTTTAAATATTGTTATGTGTTTTGTAACTGTGGCGCTGGCTTACAGCGTGCTCTGTACATATTGTAAAGAAACCGTTGGAGTAATTTTCTTTCCCATTGGGCAGGCCTGGCCCCACATTCCTGCCCCTTCCACTTGGTTCTGTAACACAGAGAAGAGGAACTTCTGTCTTAGCAGGGCAGCCTTGGGTTCTGCAGAAGGGAATTTTTTTTTCCTTACAAAGAAACATTTGGCTCTCTGATCCTTATATCCAAGTCTCCCTAGAAGGGTAGGAGCTGAGCTCCCAGAAGAGCAGGTAAAAGCAACAATGGCAGAATAGCACTGTCTTTTCCCGGTCCCTGCTCCTTGCCAGGTCCAGTCTTCCCTCCCTGAAATAACATGCAGCAGCTGCATCAACGAAGGAAGCAGAGATCCTTGACAAGTGCTGAGTGAAGGATCTGCTGTCCACCTCCAGCCTCTATGGAGAGGAGGCACACAGGTAGGAGTACCTGTGGCACCCATGACTTGCTCAGAGAGATGAGACACTCAGCAGGGATTCCACCCCATGAGCAAAGGCTGGAATAGCTTGCTGGGACCAAGACCACCAGACCAAAGCTCTCTATGAACCACCTCTGCCCCTTCACAAACCTCGTTCACCGGGGCTCCACACAGAGGACCTACAGGGAGGGAGCCTCATCCCCAGTTAGGACAGCCAGGGCTGGGAGAGCTGCTCTTTAGGGTTCACATCTGCTTCCTCACTTAAGGTGTGCCGGTTTCCGTCATCCCCCTTCCCTGCCTGTACATGTATGTGTACATGTACAAAGTTCCCTTCTCTTACCTCATTCCCTCCACACGTCTCCAGGTCAAATGACCACAGGCAGAATGGTTAAGAAGGCACCCCATGAAATGAAATGGTGATTCTTGAATATTCTCTCCGGGCTCCAAGGGGAGGGTGAGAGGATGTGGTTTTGGGGGTGGGAGGGTGAGACTGTAGAAGGGCTAGAGTTACTGTACACGGGCTTTGAGGTCACCCTTGTTGCTCATTATGCTGTGTACCCTGTTACCATCCCAATGTCTACTCTCCTGCCCCTGTGATTTAACTGGGCAGCTAGTTGGCCCCATAATTCTGGGCCTTTGTCATTTGTTTTACTACTAGGGCATCCCAGGAAGCTCTCTGATGATCCTCTGCCATGGGCCCCTCCTGGGATCAAGCCCCTCCCAGGCCCCGCCCCCAGCCCCTCTTGCCCCAGCCCACCCGCTTGCCTTGGTGCTCAGCCCCCCATTGGGAGCAGGTTGGGGCGAGCTGGAGGCCCGGGCTGGAGGGGCAGTGTTGCTGTTCATAGCTTTTGTTCCATTGGCGTTGCTCTGTTGGATTTAATTTCAGTCTTCCTGATTCTTCCCTTCTGTAAAGTGTACATTACCAAGTTCCTTGTTTTTTATATATATATATATATAAATATATATATATACAAACTGTACTCTTTTTGCCTTTGTACATTCAGGCAAGAAGAGAAAATAAATCTTTTTAAGAGACAATCACAAATCTGTGAGGGCTGCTGGTTATTTCTCTTGGAGTTTGCTGCTGAGCTGCCTCCTCCTCCTTCCCTGCTTTTCTGTTTTCCCTCAGCTTTCCTGATCTTCCTGGTCCTGCTCCATATGCATCCTCAGCTCCACCTTCCCTGGCTGATGGCAAACTGTTGAATCCAGTGTCCAGACTACCTGCCCTTGAGCCCTTTCTTGCCCAGTGGTGTTTTACAGCTTGGCCACTGGCTTATCCAGGGCTTTATCCTGTGCCCTGGCCTCTCCTGTCTTCCCCCTTAGACCCCATTCACCAAAGTGGCTTTGGACCCCTCAAGTACCCTGAGGTCTATCCCCCCGGAGGCCCTGGCTTTGGACACTCACTTGTGAAACTATGCAGCTGGGAGCTCTCTAAGAGTTTGCACTACTTGAACTGCCTGGGAGTTAGAACGGATGGTTTTTAGGAATGAGAGAGAAACTGTCCCCTAACATTCCCACCCCCTCCCCAATTCCAGCCTCCAGAGTGCTCTGATCCAGAGCCCAGAGAATCATTCCTGGCTGGAGGACTCCTATGGCTACCCCATCAGAACAAGGGCTAAGGATTTAGGAGTCCAGAGCATTTGATCAGAATTTCAGAGGGTGGTATATTCTCAAACACAGCCCAACCAAACCATTGTTCTGCCTCTTGAATTTTCTCCTTTTCCTCTGATCTCCTGCTCCCCTTTTTTTCCCCTTTCTCTCTACTTCCTTTTCTTAATTGGCTTTGGAATTGAAGTATATTTTTAAATTATTTGTTGTATTTATTGAATAAAGTTTTTAATGTCCCTGTTCTTAAATTTAGACTTAGTTTGCCTTTCACATATCCTCCCTATCCCATTCCATCACCCCTCAAAATATTAACACCTTCTAAGTTACTTTTTTGATTGGAGTGCAGCTTTTGGGCACCATATTTCTTTCCTGCCAGGGGTCCTATCTAGCAAAATTTCTTTTTCCAAAAGGAAAGCTTAACTGAGGGCCTGGGTTTCCAATTCAACGCTTCTAACTCTAGCTGTATTGAAGGGGGTCCATCAGCAGATGACAGCAGAACCTCCAATGTGTTTGTTTCCTATCAGTTTGAAGGACTGCGTTTGATCTTGGTTCTTTATTCCTGTCTTGTAGATTCCCCAAGTCTGAGTTCAACATAATCCTAAACTGCCTACATTAACTTGGCCAATGTCCGCATTCATGCAGACCTCTGCTGTAGGTATCTCACAGCAGTGACCGTTTTTCATTCGCTGCCTCTAGGGGTTATATCCATGGAGGACAGATTTAAGTCCTTCCCATTTCCGTTGAATATCCAGCCCCAGACCTTCCCCTAATACTGTAGAAGATGGAGGTATTGCGCTCATTTTTATGAATATCAGGTGGAGTCCAAAGTTAGTAACTTGGCCAGTGTGAAAACACAAGTGCCACACAGAACACTATGAAAATGGGCCAAAGACTCAGAAAAACTAAGGACAGCCACAGCTCAACAGCAGATAGTTCCAAAGCTATAGGAAGAAAAACCTGTCCATCACTTGGGAAAACAGAAGCAAAAGAGAAAAAAATGATAGTAAGCGCTTGAAAAATTCAAGGGACACCTGGCTAGCTCAATCGGTACAGCATGTGACCCTTGACCTAAGGGTTCTGAATTCGAGCTCCCCACGTGTAGCCTACTTTCAAAGGGGGGTGGGGGGGACTCTAGCTCCCTACAGTGCCACTGAGAGCTTACTCATCCAGCTAGTGGTGCAAGGGGAATGGCAGCCACACCTTTCTAGGGAAGGTATGTGCTGCTTCCTTCAAACACCTCCAGAAATGGGAATGTCAGGCATCTCCATGCAAAAGCCGAAACCCAGTTTCAGGACCCAGCCTCCTACACAAAAGGAAAACACTAAGAACAACCTGGATCCTGGGTATAGACTCTATTCTGGATGAAGCAGATGTGTACATACCTCTCTAGGGGGGTACTGGCAGTTTGTCCCAGGCGCCTAGCAACTGTGTTTTGCAGTATAATGGTGGCCCCAGAAGCCTCAGCTGGTTTATCTGTCCTGATGCACTGCAGCGCTTTTCCTGAGAAGCATGTATCACACCCCTGCTACGTTAGGCTCTAGACTCAAAAGAGTAGTGGTAGAAAGCTGGTCCTGGTACAGGAATGAAAAACAGACCAACCACAACTTTAAATCAGTTTATTGACACATTAACACAACACACTTGCCTCCCTGACACCCCCACCCCCCTCACCCAATCTAGATCTCTCCCCCCTTCCTCCCCCCTTAGGATGAGCTGTTCAGTGAAAACAGAAAAGGGCAGGCCACTTCTACACCCCCAAGCCCTATGGGGCAGGGTCTCAGGCACTACTCAGAACCTGTTGAGAAGAGGGGCAGTCAGCACTATGTTCGGCCAGGCAGAGGCATCCAGTCCCTAAGAGCAGATTCCCACACAACCCCCAGGCCCTGAGTTGCTTATTCCTCTTCCTCTCTGCTCTTTGTGACCCTAGGAAAGAGACACCTTGGGTCCTGGGCCTACAGCCAGGAGCAAGAACTCCTGGCTATGATTTGCAAATTGGGAGTTTGGCTAGTGTTTTAAGGCCCAGGCACCCCAAAGAAAGCCCTGGTGGTGGGAGTGAACTTCAATGCCCCTATTTGAAATGCACTGATAACATTAAACAGATTAAGCCAGCTTAACCAAATGCCAGAACAACACTAAGCTGTAAAGGAGGGGGTGAGACCTGGTTTCTCCAGGCCAGACACAAATGCACACAGAAGAGCCCAGGTAGAGTGTCGAAAAACTCAAGGACACAGCCCAGGGGCTGAAAAGCCTATATTCAGGAGTCCTGGGTTGACAGGAAGCAAGGAAAGAAAATACACAGTCTTAAAAACCAAAAAAGAAAGCCCAACAACAGCAGGGGAACCTGAGCCTGACAGTGCCGTCCACCAGCCCCCCAAGCCTTGCCCCTGGACCCAGACAGTCCCTCCCCGTCTAGGCAATGTCCTCCCCTAGGCTAGATAGAGCACATCACACAGCGCAGTTTAAAAAGCTTCTAATGCCAGTTCATAAACATCTTCATTTACTATTGGTGATTACATGTGAATAATAGGTTTATACTGTTCTTTATGGAAAACAATTTCAACAAGTCAACTCGGAGAACACAATAGGCAACCCTCACCCTGAGCCCCTCAGCGTCCTTCCCTAGACAGCAAGGAGCCCCCTCCTCTGTCCCAGGGCTGCCTAACTTCCCCTCTCCCCCCACTGTGGCTCTTGGGCAAAGCATCCTCTGACCATTAGTCCTCATCGGACAAGTTCTGGTCCAGGGGGTAAACCATGAACATCACATCTGGCCGAGAGGGAACACAGGGATGGCCTGGACGCACAATCTCAAAGCCCAAGAAGCTGAAGGTCTTCAGGAGTGGAGCTGTAGGAGAGTGTAAAAAGGATTCTGATAAACCAAGAGTAGGTTCAAATCAAAGGAAAACAAGAAACAAAGCTACAATAAAGAAGTACTAGACCTTTACTTATATAGACCCTTCAAAAGCACTCCCACCCCTATGATTTCCCAGGGTTTATAAGGCAAACTCAAAAGCCCTACTTCACGCAGTAAGAAGCCCCTTTTCCCCTCACTAGTTGCCCGCTGTCTGGGCAGTAGGTCTCAGGCTGTTTGGACTCCTCACCTCTGTCTTCCCGGCCCTTCCTGAAGCAGATGAAGACGTAGTTCACTTTCATCTTCTCTTCAGCAAACTCTAGCAGTGCTAACAATCTGCCAGAAGCAAAGAAAACAACTCAGGCCCACTACCACCTCTCTAGACTTTCCACTCCCCACACTCAAAAAAAGGCTTCTCTGAGGCTCACAGCCAGTATTATAAATAAGGAACCTCCAGGGAGAAGTTTCTTATTTCGAGAGCTGGAGTTCAGAAAAAAATAAGCCACAATCCCAAAGAAAAAAGTTACTGAATTATCTCTTACTGGAGTAAGGATTCTTCATCTGAAATTAACAGTGTTAACCAACTTCACTAACGCAGCTCACAAGACAGCAGGGGGTCGAGCAAGACAGCCTGGTTTTTCAGGGGTCTTCTAAAGTTGCCAAGTTTGATGACCACCTGCTACTGAGATGGACTCTGGGTCCTAACACTGCCTAATAGGATTTCCTCAAGAGACAGGGGCCATCAAGAGAACTCTATCTTCAAAATAAAAAAAATTAAAAAAAAAAAAAAAAACCCACACCCAAAAAAAAAAAAAAAAAAAGAACTCTACAAGACTGTTTCTTACACACCTGACTGCCTTGGAGGGCCTGGCCTTGCCCAATCTAATGAAATCCCACTGTATCTCAGAGCTTCCTGGCCTTTTGAACTGCATCACTGTATGGTGGCTCAAGGGGGATTTAATGTCTGCTGAGAAGAGCAAACCAAGGGGTGATTAAATGACAGGGATTTGGTTAATGTGATAATGATTCCCTTTAACTATAACCTATGGCAGGCCTGTTTTACTGGCTAAAAATAACTTGTACAAAATGTTATCTGCTTGGGAAACCTAGAGCTAGGGAAGAAGGCAGACTCCCTAATTCATCTGTTATCCCCAATAAGCACATGCCTTTCTCTGGAATGGGCCCTCCTTCCCCTCCCCCAGCACTTGCTCCTTACCCTTCTTTGCTCCCATCAGCTAATAATCCATCTGGGATTTCTACAAACAGGCTCTGGCTGGACAGGACTGCATCCCAGGAAGAGACTTTCACCTCAGTGACCTCATACTGGAAGTGGACAATGTGAGGTTTTCCATCGTTCACAGGGAGGTCCTGGGTCACAGTGAGCTTCTCGTCCTGGGAGGAGATCAGATCAGAGGACCAGATCACTACCGCTCTGGCCACATTATAGGCCCCCTAACCTAGGTGGGTCCTGGGAGTCTTCTTGGGCCAATCTCAGGGTAGCATGGGATAAACAGCACTGAAAATATAGTGCTGCATGCTGGCTAAATAGAGCCATCCATCACTCATCAGGCACAAAGACAAGTTGATGGCAGCAAAAAGCCAGCATAATGGGAAAGGAAATATTTACCAAATGTCCATGAGATGCCAAGTTCTGTGCAAGGTGCTTTCCCATTTTTCAATCACCACCTCAAGTATGTGAAGTAGTTACTAATATCCCCATTTAAAATCTGACACACTGGGGCCCAGAACAATTAAGCAACTGACCCAAGGTAGTAAATGGCAGAGTTGAGACTCAAACCAAGTCTCCCTGATTCTAAGCCCATGTGTGTCCCCCACCCCAACATCATGCTCTTTCTTCCCCTTCTCTCTCTGAAAGAGCAACATTAGCAACGAATGAAAATATATGTGAGGGTCTGGCTGGGGCCCAGCTCAACCAAAGCCTGCTTCCAGGTAGACTGCAGGGTCAATGTTGTCTCCCCTGGGCACAGTCTCAAGAGACCAGAACTCAGCCACCCTGCGACCTTTCAATGCCAATCTTAGGGAGAAGCTAAACTTCTGGGCCTCAACCACAGGAGATTAAAAGGCAGCAAAGGGCTGACTGCACTAGCCCAGATCATTCTCAGGCCAGAGACTGCCAGCAATCTCTTAAGCTCTTGGGATGTACCCTATGCTGCCAGAATGACAGATGATGGAGCTGCAAAGCCCCTTCTCATTACCCCCTGCTACACTACCTGCCCGCCCCCTATCAGGCTAGTATGGGATGGACAGGAGAATGCCTAATAGTCTCTGACAATGGGAAAACTGCTCCTCCTGGCCCTTGGTACCTCAAGAGAAACTGAGGAGTCACACCAAAAAGAGTTCTTGCACCCCTCCCATTCATCATTCTCCCACCCACTCAGG